GTTATGAAAAATTTAGTTCAATTTGACCCATGCACACCCTTACTTGACCTTTTGATTTTCTTTAATAGATTTTTTTGTTTGTCTGCAACAGGGGTGTTAAGAAATTTGACCAATAAGACATGTTATTATTGATTGTTGAATGATTCCCTTTTCTTCTTCAATTTTTTGTATTATTCATTTATTTTTTTAAAATAAAGGGTTTTTACAAAGAGTATTTTGTGATTTTTATATGGAAAATATTAATCTCATGTCACATGAGACAACAAGTCTCTTCTACACACTCAAAAAGGTATGGGTCCCACTTTAATATTTTTCTCTTTTTCCGTGCAACGAGACCCATACAAAATTGTGAGTGCAACATGAGATAACATATCTCCTGTTGCATAAGAAAATATAATTCCTTTTTATATAGGTATCACTTTTGGAGTTCGTATTGTGCTCTCTATTCCAAAAGCATGTTGAGTTAACCAAAGAAAGTTAGTTCAAGTGGTACATGCTTAATTTCGCTTAAGTAAGATATTGAGTTCAAGTCCTTGTGAATGCAAAAATTTTATTTTGAGTGCTAGCCTAACCATAATATGAATATTCCTGACTCGAACATTATTATCTCTAGTGAAAGAAGGATGTTGAGTTTGATATGTGTTGTTTAAGGTTCTTGTGTTTGTTTTCAAGCTTTTATGTTTCCTGTAACTTGGACCTATTGTACATTGTAATATTTTGATTTTATAAAGCAGCAACATAGGAATTTTAACTTGTGTCCTTCAATTGGATATAGAGATCTAACACATTTATGGCTCGTTTGGTGGACAAGATAGGATAAGGGTAGGATATGATATGAGCATGATAAGCTCATATCTTATCCTGTGTTTGATGTGCACTAGATAAGCTATCTGATAGGACATCCTATCCGTTGTTTGGTGTGAATCAGATTGTGCCGGGATATGCTTTAAATAGACAAAAATACCTTCAATAATAGATTTTCATATAATTCTTTTTTATTTTATGTTTAAATTTTTTAATTATATATTAATTCCTATTTTAAATTATTTAAAAGAATTTAAATTCTTTATTTTAAATAAAATATATTAAAAATACATAATTATGAATATATTTTTTTTTACCAAAAAAAATATTAAATTGTATCTAATTACAAATTTTTCTAAGTTTATCTCAAATTTCTTCCGTCATTTTGCCTCATAGCACTGTGATTAAGCAGTGGCATATATTGAAAGAGGAAGAAAAAATATATATTTCATGCACTTATGCCCCAATTATAGGATCCATAGTATGTCCAAGTTGCTAATACTTGATATTCTACGCATGACAAATGACAAAATGATTATGACAAAAGCCAACTAAATTGTAAGCAAAGATTATCAAAATTAAAGCCCTCACTGAAGAAGGCAACAAGCCAACAACCAATTTGGCAACCCAAAGTAGTAAGCAAAACCATTATTCGACCTTACTAGAAGAGCACATTGACAATGGAATAAAGTCAAACAAAATAGATAATGGTTCTCAAGTCATTAATAACCAAGGTTCTCAAGTTCTCAAATCATTTTCAAAGACATTGTATCTAATCAGATAATTAAAGCAACAAAGTCAAGCAAAATAGATAATCTCCATAGCAATCTCTATATCAATGACTTCACGAATGTAAGACGAACAACATCATTAGATCCCATAAAAATATGCAATCGATGGGGCACATATAGTATCTTATCTACTGCAGTCAAGCACTCTTCTTCAGTTAAATCAAGTTTCTGCAATTCATTCATGAGGCCGATAGAATTATCAAATACATCTTTGGCAACTCCTAGGCGATCTGCAACTCTTTCCAATCGTTCTGAGCTTGATTCTAGCTATTTCTCTAAACTCTTTCCCAATTCAGATATGCTATTAGCAATGGCTTGCGCCCCTCCATTTTTTTTTTCTTGGCTGAGTTTCAATCTGATAATGTTTTCTCTTAAATTGTGCTTTGTTGACAGAAGTTGATTAAGACAATTGAACTCTAACGTATGTGCTTTGAATTGTCCATTGTCAAGTCTTTGACCTTGATTCATAGCTTCAATTAAAATATCAAGAAGAGCTTCATCTTCCTCATTAGACCATTGCCTACGATCTCTTCTTTTCTTGCCACTTGGTTGCATGATGTTCTTGGATTCCATTCTTATCATATTACCAAATAATAAATCATAAATTAGACAAAAAAAAATATTAAGAAGTCTTAGAATGAGTGTTAAATAGTACAGTACAAAAATGGAGAAAGAATGGATCAAAGATCATTAGAAAAGTGTTTTTCCATTGTTGGAGAAACGTTTAAGATCAAAAACCTTCTAGCTTTCCATCCTCTGGATTATCTTCTGCTATGTCAAAATAAAGATTGGATGGAAAGATTTAAACAAGAATGGTATAAAGCCATAGATACATAGTGAAAAGAATTAAAATGTAAAAAACAATAGGCTTATAGATTACCTGCTGAGTCCAGATGTAAAGAACGAATGTCCTCCTCAATACCTACCATTCATACAAAACATACATAAATATTCCTCCAACTCACCAAGTTCCATATAAAATCAAAGTGGAATGTTTTTGTTTTGATTCAGGAAAAGCACTAATTCATTTCAATTTTGAATTTTTCTTCAGTATGAATAGAATAAAAAATAATTAGATTTCAACCCACTACCCCAATAAAGAACACCACCATAACATGCAACTCAGCTTACTGCCAACAAAATTCACTTACTGCCACCCGAAGCTTACAAATTGAACTGCAAGTAAAAGTGATATAACACGCAACACATACTTTTACTATCCAGCAGACAACTTTACGTTATAAATTCGTACGCATAATTAAGAAGTGCAAAATGGAACATCACAAGCCCGAGCTCAATATACTCACTATAGTCGCATCCATTTACTCACTCGAGGAATCCCAATCATTAGAACTTGAGCGAAAAAATGGAACCAAAACAAGCAAAATAAAATCATATCGATTATTCATCGATCAATAGGATTAAAAAAATGCAACACAGATCAAAACATGTCTATCACAAACTCGAAACATGCAGATCCAAAACGGATTAATATGAAACTATGGACGAATTGCACAAATAAGGGAAAAAAAACTATGCAGTTAACTAGGAAGAGGAGAATTAAATCAAGATGAAGAGAGCTTACCCATGGTGAAAAGGAAATAGGGATTCTGTAAAGGTGAAGGGTTTCAGCAGCGAGAGAAGAGAACAAGTAACAAACAAACCGTGAGAGATTTTACTGTTGCTCTTTATGGGCGTCTCTCGTTTTACTGTTGCTCTGAACTCATGATGATTGATGTTTCCCGTTTTGGTTTGAGCATAGAAGACGATGGTAGAGAAAAAGAATTTCTCATGTGGCAAGGATGTATTGGGAAAAATAAAAATAAAAATAAAAATCTTCTTATCCTGTCCTAACACTTTCTAACCCAAGCCTCCCATGGAATAACTAATTAGGCTTTGGTAAATAAGAAAAACCAACCAAATAACTATATCCTATCCGCTTGGCATACCAAACAATTGATAAAGGCAAGATAAGATAAATTATTCTATCATATTCTCTTTATCAGGTGCACCAAACGAGTCCTTAAATTCTAAACCAAGTATATTGTTTGTGTGTTGTTATGTGATGCTCTTGCATCTTTTGTTCTTCTGCCTTGTTGATTTTACAACAAAAACACCTCCAGCTGTTTTGTTCACTTCTCGGGCACCAATGAACGAAAGTTTACAAGTGCACCCAAAGCGTGGTAAAAGGTTGAAAATAGGCTACATTGTGATTTGACTACTCTAATATATTGCCTCTCAATTGGTACCAGTATAAAAACATGTGTAGGCTTGGCCCATCTACTAATGATGACCTGAAACCAATTGATAGAAATTTAAAGCCCAAACATTTATTAAAACGGCAAGCAATGAAGCTTGTTGGGTAAATTACTTGGTTTATTCACTATAAGTGGTAATGTATGTACAAATTAGTTGGTTTTTCCATAAAGTTATTTTAAGTAACCCAAAACTACTCGTTTCGGGGATTGAAGAAATTGATGAAGAATATTTTTGATAAAATTTACATAACAAGAAATAAATAAGATCTTTAAAATATCCTTTAATAATTTTATTTCAAGTGAACACACAAATGATAAATTCTTATTTTAATGGAAAAATTTATCATTATTATTTTAAATGATATAATTTTATGTCATTTTAAATAAAACAATATTGTTTTGATGCAAAATTTGTAGTTTTTTTATATTTTTTCTCCTCCACTTTCTCTCGCTTCCTATTTTTATGTAGGAGAGATGATTTAAAAAATCATCAATTCTATACTAAAATGACGTGGTTTCATCTAGAAAAAAAATTATATCGTTTAACATAACAAATATTTTTCTTACTTTAATTAGTCCAAATAATTGTTTGAGTAAAGCTCTTTTTGGGTTCTTAACAAAACATATGGTTCCTATTTTCGTCCCTTACAAAAAAATATATCCATATTAGTCTTTTTTTTAGGGACTAAATTGGGTCTTCGTTGAATTTCTTAGGGACCAATTTTCAAAGAACTGGAATTGTAAAAAGACAAAAATTGACTTTTTTTTATAAGGGACAAAGGCGGGGGACATGTTTTTATATTAAGGACTCAAAAGGGACTTTACTTTAAGAGGAGGGATATTCTTACTACCAAAATTTTCTACTACCAACTTACTACCTATCTAATCACCATTGGATTAGTCTATCAAAAAAAAAAAATCACCATTGGATCAATATTTTCTCTTTTTACAAAAACTTTTTAACATTCTCTCTTTAATTCGATTCAATGGTGATTAGATAAGTAATAAGTTAGTAGTAGAAAATTTTGATACTAAGAATATCCTCTCTCTTAATCTAATTGTTTTTAATTTTTAGAACCATAAAACGGCGTCGTTATCCCCAGCGGTTTTGGTTCGTTGGAACTTTTCCATCTCTAGTCCACGACAGCCAATGAGCCAACTATCTCGATAGCCTCATCAGCAACTGCGATGGGCCATCAACAACCCAAATCCACGACGGAAGCGCTGCCGTTACTCCGCCGCATCGTAAGCTTCGACGCCACCGTCTCCCTCTACATCCACACACTCACAAGACCCATAGCCTATAGACCCTTCCTACGCCTCCTAGAGCTCTTCGCCGACTTCCGTTTCTTCTTCCCCGTTTCCCTCTCCGTCTTCCTCGCCACCCCCTCATCTTCTCCGCTCCGTTCCCAACTCCTCCTCCCTCTCATCCTCGGCTCCCTCCTCGACCTCCTCTTCATCGCTCTCCTCAAATTCCTCGTTCGCAGATCTCGCCCCTCATACTCCAACCACGACGAGTACAACGCCGTCGTTCCGGTTGACAACTTCTCCTTCCCCAGCGGTCACTCCTCTAGGGTTGTCTTCATCGCCTCCATTTTTTACCTCTCTCATCATTGGATCATCGACGCCATCGCCAATCTGCACCATCCACGTGTCGCCATGCTGATTCGTCGCTGGATCGGGGGAGACGAGGTTATGGCCGTTAATCTGTTGGTCGCGGCCGTTTGGTCGTGGGCCCTAGCCACTGTGATTTCTAGGGTTGTTCTCGGGAGGCATTATGTTCTCGATGTCTTCTTCGGAGCTTGCTTCGGTGTCCTCGAAGCTATGTTCACCTTGCGCTTTCTCAAATTCCTTTGATTTGAGGTAAGATCCAAGAATTTGGAATTGTTAGAGTTGAATGGCTATGTCGTGGTGGTGTTACCAAATGGTGAATATCACACTAGATTTTGGTACCATATGGTTGCTGTGTATTACATATGGTTTTTCAATATATGCATGGTAACATATCAATGTCCATTTTGTTCAGCTATCAAGTAGGGGCTGTACTAGCTGGTAGATTTTTTTGTATAATATTTTATTTAGATGAAATATATGATAATGTTGATTTTAAGTGCTCATGTGTGATACCTGTAACCAGACTATGGAGAGAAGTTAGTTGTCAAATGTGTCACTGAAAGAATTTTCAAGCTCAGGACGTTATACAAATTCTTTAAAGAAATTAATTTATATGAGAATAATAAACCCAAATTCAGAAGGAGAAAGATTAAAAGACATTGTAATTTGTAAGACTGATAGCGGAAGATGCAGGGCACACCGCAACAAGGAGATGAAATTGAAATGTTTGAATCATTAATGATTTCAATTGAAGGGAAGCAAAATATTGGATGGTTAGGGTAGACTGAGGCATACTTAGACTTCGGGCTAATTAATATTAAATTGGTTTAGACTCGTCATTGTTTAAACCTATAGCTTCTTCTCCAGAGAATGTAATGATGAATTTGTTAATGAATTTGGGGACTTTTAAAGAATTGTTAGATTCCTTAATGCAATCTTAATTTAATCAAGCTCCCCAAAAAGTTAATTTCATCAAGCTCCACCAAGAATTTTAATTGTGTATTAGCATTATTTTGGCCCCCTCATTAATTTTCTTATAGCTCTGCCACTGACCTCTGCAAGCACGAGCACAGTCCACAGTGCTGTCCTCCCCAAAAAAAGACCAATTTAGTTAACAAAAGAAATGCTTTGCCAAAGAGGCTGCAAATATGATCATTTGAATGAATATGCTTCTTTTTATTATATCCTCAAAGACATTATAAATTTATTTTTCCGTTCTGTACCAAACCATATTCAATCATGGTTGGAATCGTTCAACATCAACATCACCATAATCCCAAACTAGTTAGGATTGGTGGCCCATAAAACCAAATAAAAGTAAGAACAGATTTGAATCAAGAAATTCTCTCATGAACTTTGATTACAGAAAAAATTGCTAGTAAGGTGCCCATAAAGATAGAATTGAGAAACTGCTGGTCTAAAGTACAGTTTCTTTTTTTATCTGTGTATGCGATAAAAGAATAGTTCATTGGAAAGAATGCAGAATGCTTATTTTTAATTTATTTTACTGTGAGGCACCATTATTGATTAACCATTTCATAAACTTATTTGTTGGATTGTTCCTTGATTCAGCATTAAAAAAAAAACCTTATCTTTCCTTGCTATGTTAATCTAATTTTGCTTTCACTTGTCATTTGTTCCCCTCCTTAATTTTTTTTTCTAGAATGTAGAGTGAGACTCTTCACTGTTCTCACCTTTATGTTGTATTTGTTCAATCCATTTTAACTGTCCTCATATCTAGAGCGAGAGTCTTGATTGTAGAAAAAAAAAAAACCCTTATCTTTCCATGCTATAGTAATCCAATTTGGCTTTCACTTGTCATTTGTTCTCCTTAAATTTTCTTTTTATAATCTACAGTGAGTCTTGACTGTTCTCATCTTTATGTTGTATTTGATCAATCGATTTTAACTTTTGCTCATATTTGGGCTTGCGGTTGAGTTTCCACCTTTCCATACTTATTAATGGGAATGGCTTAGGAAAAGAAAAAGAAAAGTAAAACAAATGGTGGGGAAAAGGACTATATTGATATTGTCTATGTCAAGTGTAGTGTGACCTTTGCTCCAATTATGAGACTACAAAGAAGAAGAAGACGGGGAAGGGGAAATAAGATAAAAGAAAAGAAAAGGGGCCATCTGGAATATAAAGATAACAACGGGTCTAACCCTCCACTCTGCTTATAGCTTTTCTCCATTCCGTCCTAAGACACACTATCTGTCAATCTATATCTCACTACATTAAGTCTTGTTTATCTACCTTTTCCTAGGTAAGTTTTGGTTAGCTCTATCTCTTTTTGTGTCGAGTTCTTGGTAACAAACTTTTGTTCTTACAGGAACATTCAGGGGCCGTCAATGGGAATGGCTTAGGAAAAGAAAAAGAAAAGTAAAACAAATGGTGGGGAAAAAGACTATATTGATATTGTCCATGTCAAGTGTAGTGTGACCTTTGCTCCAATTATGAGACTACAGAGATGAGAGGTAGGGTGTCTTAGGAAAAGCGGGAGAGAGAGAATCTGAGGGATAATAAATGAAGCATTATGATTTATGAAGATGCGTGCTAACGGAAGGGTTCATCTGTCACAGAAGAGTGAAAAAAAATGAAATGCTAAAGAAGTTTTTAGCACATTTATTTTGGATTTGTGATTGGTAATCTTCATGCTCATAGCCTTTCAATTCGTATGTGATTTTGGGCTGATGGTGATGGTTCAGAAGGTTCCTGTTTATTAAGCATAAGGAGCTGAGGATGAGGTTCTTGGAGAAGCTTGTTGACTAAACTCTTGAAGTACATCTTTTATTTTTCGTTAGCTTTATTTTTTTGGATTGGTTTATTAGAATAGTTGCACATGAAATAGGCTTAAAATTGACAACAATGAAGGCTACAACTTTCTCTTCTGCCATCCCCTTTTCACCATCAGAGTTTGTTTGTACTTGTAACCATTTGCTCTCTCTTTCTCTCTCCTATGGGGCTTAAAATGTAAGCAAGTAAAAAGATGATTAAATCTAAGTGGAAGCAAATTTCTCAATGTAACATGTATGGCTGAATATCCATTAGATGGATAATGGTGCAGAATCTGATGGCTGTGTGCTTTTTTCCTGCTAATGCTTTAGGTTCTTATGGAGCGCATTGAGCTTATGCTACTCGAAGGGATGGAATCTTTCTAATTGATTTCCAACGGATAATGAAGTCATGAATGTTTTAGTGCATTGGCATCTTGATCATCACAGAGATAATGTTGGAAACCTTTATGACTAACATCTTGCAAATACTTGTGGTCTCAACTCTTCACTTGATCATGTGTTCAGATTGGATTTGGAGCTTCATTGCTGTAATTAATTCTTGGGCGTTAACTATCTGCCTCTCCCTACTCTCCCCTACGGGCATATGATAATAAGCGTAGACATGTGATATAGCATGCATGGTACAGGAGATCTGTATATCATTTCTTTGCAGCTTTTTGTCTTATGTTCCATTCAAACTATAAGGATGTATGATATGTATTGAGTTCTTTGCGCGGTGTGCAAATTTGCCACTGCTGTCAGATGTTTCTAATTTTTGCAGATGTAGACAATTTGTTGCATATCGTCTGAAGAGTTGAAATGTTTTATCTTTTTTGACAATTGCTGCCAGAACGAGTTGGTTTATGTCTAGTCTATCTCCGATCCCTACCTTGCCCGTTCAGGTGGATTGAGCATTATTATTTGAATTATGGGGTAGTAATCATCAAGAAAACATTATAATATGAAAATTATAAGTAAGCATATGCTCAATGGCATCTAGTAATCTATGAAGTTTGATCAAATAAGCGTTTGCTTCGAGGAATTGTTCTGAGGGACCGTGTGTTTGTCTGATGTGTGTGCTGCCGACCGTAAATTGAAACTTAGACCATCATCAATTGAAGGATAAAAAGTTGTTAGGACAGTTGCTTCTTTTGCATGTGCCTTCTTACAGTGTGAGATGCTTTATCTGATAAGATGTTATTGATGGACTGATTGATTGCTCTTTGCTTTCCTTTCAATTTAGGAATAGATTCATAAACTTACCAAATCAGCGTAGACGGGGGTTGTTATATTGAGCTGGCAGCATCATTGCCATAGTTAGGATATGGAATGTGGAACGCACCATTAGACGAGTGAAACGAGTCATTTTGGTTTTATTGACTTGACAGGTGGGGCTGATTTCTATTAACTCCCAAGAGAATTTTAAGCATATTAGTTTGGAGGAGGCATTCATCTTCTTTCGTGTTAGTCCGCGGAACATTGACAATTTCACTCTTTTAATGTCTGTTTCTTCGTGCTTTTGCTGAAAAATAATTGCATCTACATGTAGGTTAGAATTTATTATAATGGACTAAGAAGGAAGATCATTATCTTGGATACTGCTTAAACAGGTTATTCGCGGAATCCACTTCAATTTGAGGGGCCTACCACGTACATGAAGCACTGCATGTCTGGTTTTTTGCTAAGTCAATACTAAGTAACTGCTCAAGATTTGGAGTCGGTGGAAATTCGTATTTTGTGGGGCATATGCCTTCCTGCTTTTGATATTCTCCTTGCATGATTGTTTTCTTAGTAATGACTAATGAGAAACCGACTCTCTGCAAAAATTCAACGTTTTCTTTTAAGAGCAGTGTGATTCACGCTCCGCAAATCGGGATGTTGTTAATGCTATATTTGCCTTGAAATGCAAACAGTCAAGTTGTTTAAGTGCATTATCATTTTTATTTTACTTTTTTTTGTGATGGGGGTGGTAAAATCAACACATTATCATTTCACGTAGTAGGAGATATTTTTATTTTTTATACATACATAAAGTTATGTGCCATCTATGTTTTTTTTTTTCCTCTTTTTTTATTGGTTTTATAAGAGTTATGTTGTAGGAAAAATGATTGTGTAATGTTATAGAGATTCGTTTTGCGTACCGTAATTTTCTTTTTTTCTTTTTTCTTCAAAAAGTGTGGGCCTCACAAAATGTATGTGTAGGAAAGTTTGTTGTGTCATATTAAATGACAAATGCAAACCTCTTTTTTTATACAGGTTCCACACATTTTTTATATGTGTAGGAAATAATTTTTTTTTTATCTGAAACAGTATTCACTTTTAACTATGGGTTTTATTTTATTTTTTGTGGCATAAGTGATTTTTTGTCTTATATTCTTACTTTTATTTTCGTATTCTATTTTTTTTTTTAAGTAAAGTGGGTGGGTCCAATAGGAGACGATTTTTCTTAGTGAAATTAGAGAAATAAAACCTTTTAGCTATTTACGATTGTGCACTTCTATACATGGTAGGATCACCGTACGATACGAAAATATGAATAGGCTGATGAGTTTACATTTCCACCCGTTGTTTCAACTTTCATTTACACAGTTGCTTTATATTTTGGTCAGTTCCTGTTTTTTTGCCCTCTTCATTCACTTTTCAGGGTGTTTTTAAATCAATGCATGATCCTCGTTGGTCAAACATCATGTATTGATTTTTATGATTGAGCAGAGGAAAGTGCAGGTATGTAAATCTTTGTCAGCGTTGGTGTCTCGGAGAATCAAGATTGCATAAAGGCAGCAATCCTGAAACCCCAGCAAAGGGCAATGTTAAACAAGGTGAAGTCACCCCTAAATAACCAAATATAGGGTAGGGGGTACGTAGCACAGCCATAGGCTTGATCGTCAATAGTCATAATATGGTAGCTGTCATGTCATCATATTCATTCGTACAGCACCTATCTGGGTCTTTGTGTGAGCTATAGAACCATACCCAATAGAACTTCCCAAATGTTGTGATGTTGTACCAGTCAAGATGTGGCATCCTCCGGATAACCACGATCAAACTTGGTACAAAAAGGATAAGCTGTAAACCCTGTAACGTGCATGCATACATGATTAATAATGATGAACACAGCTCATGGTGAGGCAGTCAGCTTGTGAATTGCGTATTCTCCTGGAAATTCATGCAATCGTGTGATTTTGTACGATTTATTTTGGGAGTTTGTGGGCATTTATTTGTCCGTGGAAACATTAAAACGATTTTTGGACTCATGTTCATGACTTGTACTGTGATGATATCGGGTACCTATTATGAAAAAGCTAATAGAGGACCACTCATTTAAATTGAAAATTTGATGCAGATGCTGTTGAACTTTACATGTCTTTCTAATTTTGCCTTGTACCTGCAACAAACTGAGGAACTGGGCAGAGAGATTCAGGGGAGAACCATTACTGACACCATGTGGAAATAATCAAAACGGTTGAAGGGTTTCAAGCGATGAAGACAGTAGGCATCATTTCAAACCTGTCTCCCCCTTACCCCACTGGTTATTATCATATCTGATTTTAAGCCGAGAGACTCTTTTTTCCTTTTTCCCTTTTCCTTTTAATGACTCATTGAAATTACATTTAAACTTTGACACAATTTGTGGCTCCCATAAGTTTATCCAAATTATTCATATTGATTTTTCTTTTCTCAGCAATAATGTACCAAACTCATGAGTTGATGCAGAATAAATGTTATTGCTTCCGTCTTTGACTTATTTATCCCATGACAAATTAACTATTTATCATAAATTAAGGTAATGGAATTAACTGTTGGCGCGGAGAAGTAAGGTGTGACTCGTGGTCTCTGACCAAACTCTTACACTTTGTTAGGTGAGAAGGAAGAGAAAGGAAAAGAGAAGTATCTCTCATAGGCCAGGTTATATGTACAAACTTTTTTGTTTACAAACTCTTACAAACTACACTATGTAAGACCGGTCCTACATTAGTCACACAGTGTACGATCGGTTCTACATTAGTGTAATTGTAAAAAAAGTTTGTAAACGGATCATGTTCCTTGTTTAATATGATCCAATGGAAAAGATTTGTTTTTTCCCATTATTTATACGAGTGACAATTTTCAACACGATACTTTGACATGACACGAAAAATTCGTGTTTTGGTCAACTAGTTTTCAAATTCATGTCACTTTCGAGTTGATCAAAATTGACCCAAAAATTTTTGTATAGTGTCGCGTGTTAACTCGTGAATCCACAATTGACCCGCATAAATTTTCTTATAGGTTATTCCTGTTGTGTAGTGTCGTGTTATAAACAGGTTATTCATGTCTTGTCGTGTCGTGTCGATCTGCATAATAAGTAACACAATTTGGAATTGACATTCATGTCTAGTTGTGTCGTGTCAACTCACATAATAAGTAATACATTATGAGTTTAAGGGTTCTTGTCATGTCAACTCCCAAAATAAACGATCTTGTTCGTATCGAAAGTTTTAACCCGATTTCCAATTCGTGTCGTATTCATATTATGTATATTTATATTCGTGTCAAATTTATGTTGTGTTGTGTTAGATCATGTCGACTTGAATTGTCACCCATATTTATTTAGTTTCCTAAAGAAAAAGACAAAAAATGCATGTGAATAAATGAAAATATATCTAAATGGGGAGGATAAGAAGAACACAAATTTTATCACCTTGTATCCTTTCTTTTCCTTTGCTAATTTGCTACCAAATAAGGAAGAAACTTCTTCCTCCCAATCTTTTCCTTTCCTTTCCATCCTAGAAAGGCAAACCAAATAAAGACTCCGAAAAGGAAGAAAGGGAGAGATTGATATTTTACTGGATACTGCATGAGATTGATATTGCATGAGATTGATATTTTACTTTCCACTTAAATTTGGAGATGATCAGTGTACCTATGTTTTCATATATTATTCCTTTTTTTTTTTGGAAATTATTCCTTTTTAGTTTTTTCTCGATTGTTTCTATTACTATTTACTATTTGCTGGGAAATTAAATTAATCAACTCATGAAAAGGGAAAAGGATGGTCCCCACGACCACTGCACAAATCCGTCCTTAGGGAGCTACATTGTTGTGGGCAAGGTTATATGTCCCTGCACAGAACGGCCATCATAAAAGGCCACATGCAAAATGTACCACCGACCCTCCTTGTATTATACAACTTGCTAATACACGGACATAACTGCAATCATAAATTCTCCCATGCACCTCATGCAATGCAACCATTTCAGTGTGCTTACTTTCGCATACACTCCACATCAGTTATACTTGTGTTGCAATATTGGTCAACGTAATCAACATATTATATCTTAATTTCTTTCATTCACACTAGAATTCAAACCAATTGGTGAACCAAATTGTGACTTTGACAGGCTTGGCCCCATACGTCAATTACAAAGCACCATATATTTATGGTTAAATATTGGATTCGGTGGAAGCGCGTGTATATATATATATATATATATATATATATATATATATATATATATATATATGGAAACATGAAAATTAAGTGACTGGACCGTCCAGCACATTAAGTTCTCCCGCGAGAATATAGTGCACTAAATATTATAATGGTGTTCTCCCGAAAGAACATAGTTATAATATTTACTATAATGGTATTCTCCCGGAAGAACATAGTTATAATATTTACTATAATTCTGTTCTCGCGAGATAACTTAGTGCACTGGACCAAATTTTACATCCAGTCACTGTACACTCACTAAACCCATATATATTGTCAAATTCAAAATTTGATACCTCTTCTGAGAATCATTAGATCAAAAAAGATCAACGA